TCGGTGGAACGAGACTGTTGCAGCCATAAATCTGTGCGGCGGAGCGGGGCTTCGTGGTTGATTTGGCGGGGACCATTTGGTTATCTTTTTCTTCAAGGTGAACATCCATTTTGACCCTTCAGGCGAAGGTATCCATCTTAGCAGGGCTAGGAAGTGCTGCCAGTGTGACGGGGGTTGGATCCCTTTCACATATATATATATATGTATATATATATATATGTATATATATACATACACATATCATCTGTATATATATATATATGTGTGTATATATCATATATATATATCATATATATCATATATATCATATATATCATATATATCATATATATATCATGTATATCATATATATATGTATATCATATATATATACATCATATACATCATACATATATATATATATACATATGTAATATATGTCATGTATATAGATATACATATATATATATATCAAATATATACATATCATAAATATATATATATATATCATATATATATACATATCATATATATCATATGTATATATATATATATATCATACATATCATATATATCATACATATCATACATATCATATATCTCATGTATATATATATAATTTATATCATATATATCATATATATCATATATATCATATATATCATATATGTCATATATATCATATATATCATATATATCATATATATCATATATATATCATATCTCATAATTAATATATATCATTATATATATATATATCATATATATATATCATATATATATGATATACATAGATATATACATATATATATATCATATATATATCAAATATATCATATTACACAGCAATACAATATAATTTATTGATGGCTTGCTCCCATAAAAGATACCCGCAAAATGTCCCCCGACAAAGATACGTTGTTTACACCTAAAAACATGCAATGGCCACCTCAAAATACATCCAAAATACACCCAAGAGCATGCAGTAGATGGTGTAGCCTCTTGTAAACCAACATGGCTATGCCATTTTTAATATAGCCATGTGGAATTTGGCCCATCAGATTCATGAGCTTCGGACCTTGGAACTTCGCAGCGTCTGAGTGTTCCGGTTGGAGGCCTGGAAAGTGAAGAAAAAAGGAAACTCCCACAGTAGTCAAATTTCGTGGCATATGAATCATATGAAACTGAAAAGTGAAAATAAAACTAAACTTATGGATCTAGTTACTACTATTATATGATTTCATGAGGGATATTCTTGGCCAGTTCCACCTCCCGAAATCGAAAAATGGGCAGTCAAGGACTGCCAGGCTGTGGCTGTCCCATCAACTCAGCTGTCATGGCACTGCTGAAAAACTCGGATCTCAGGGGTGTCTGGTCATAGCTGCGGTAAATCCACTACTCTATATTATATATATACATATGTATATATATATGTATGTATATAATATATACATATATATGGGTCATATAGGTCATGTTCATCCATTTTTATCCATTTTTCACATATGGATCAAAATTAGGTACCCCAATCATTGGATGGTGAATACATTGAATACTAAACTAGACATTCACATCTGTGGTCCCACATCGGTCTTCCATTTTGACCCACATCCATATGTTGCTGGGTCCCAGAGAGTATCCTAGACGACCACCGCCTCAATGAAAATGGTGAAGATGCAGTGCGAGCCTGGAGCAGCTGAACTGTGGAATTCGACATGTGATATGGGTATGTCTGAAAATGGGGTATACCCCCAATGAAATAGCCATTTAGTAGGGATAATGATCAGCAAAACCATTGGGCCATTGGGGTACACTATTTTCAGACAAACCCATATGTCAAGGTCATTGATCTGTCTACGTATCATACCATCCAACTATTCTAGATATTGTAAAGGTTCGTGTCAATGTCATTTCTCTTGATTGCAGTGGTACGGTTGATGAAAATACGGGTGGTATCCTGTGGTAATTTAACATGGCGCCATGGAAAATCACCATCTGTAATTGGTAGATTAAATTCATGATTTACATGGTAGATTAACAATAAAATCACCGTTTGTAATGAAAATCATCGAAATAAATGGACCATGTGTTTCATTCTTAGATTACTGGAGGCTACTCCGAACATGGATGTCGTAAAGTTGGACATCAAATATGAGGGAAACATCATCATGTAGTCCAAAACCCATCCTGAAACAGGATGGGGGCTGCTATAGATCAGAATACCCATTTTGAAGGCCATGAAAGGGCTAGTGCCTATGGAAAAAATGGCCTCTGTTGGATGAAGATGATGAAAAAACTACATGATACATTAAATATGGAAGTGTCCTAAAATTTGGGTACCCCAAAATCAAGGATTTTCCCATTATATAATATTATAAATCATCCATAAATGGGTGGTACCCCCGAACATCCCATCGTTTTCATGTCAGCATGACGACCAATGGGCCCCAGGCGGGAAGAATTGAGGTTGTGCGGCGTCTCTGCGACCGTGCGGTGCGTGTCCTGATGGCATGTCGAGCAGCCACATCTCGGAATGGATCTGGGTAAATTGTAATAATTCGATCTAATTCGCTAACCTCAAACTTGCGGCAACATTGGGAGAATTCCCCAGATATAATCCCCATCATTCGTAAGAAAGTTTCTGGATCTTTCTGGCTCTTTCTGTTTCGGATCCACCAAGTGCCCGACACCCAAGAAGTATTGGTGTAAACCTTCATCCTGGCAGCGATGCATGGCGATACATGGCGATGCAGCCATAAAAAAACGCCTTGAATAACTAGTTGATGCAAGCTGCTACTTGGAGAAATAATCTCTCCATTGCGCCAGTGAAACTCATTATGTTCACCGAAAAAAGATTAAAAAAGTGTGTTTTCCCTAAAATCCCTTAAATCCAGCGTAATATTCCCTGAAATCACTAAAATCGAATATCATTTTCCAACATTTATGGATGATTCTCCCAACTATAAAGCTGCATTTAGTTAGGGGATTTTCCATTCACGCTTGAGGACACCGGAGGGCATCATTTTCCCGGACCCAAGGCTGGACAGCTGCGGCGCCGCGCCTCCGAAGCAATCTGCACCCGTTTGGCGCCTTTCCGTTCTGGAAAAGTGACCAGCCCATGGACTCCATGTATACATTGTATACAGTAATAGACATATTATAATCATGTATATATATATATAGTAATTTTAATATGTATATATATATATATAGTAGATTTTGCACATAATCATGCATAGTCCTATCTATCCTTGTGGTTATCCCCATATTTCTTTCTATATGGCTACTCGATTCCAATAATTCAGCGGGTATACTAACTGGCCCAGTCATTGTGATTCACTTCTCGGGGTTGGAATATAAGGGAAAACAGAAAGCATAAACAAATAATAATATTGGTGTGCCTGAAAATTGTACGTATGCCTACTGGCAATTTTGGTAGGGAAATAGTGATAGATGAATCATTGATTTCGGGGTACCATATTTGCAGACAAAGCGGTATAATCGAATTGAACAAAGAAACCCGTCACCAAAGAACTATGTCAAGTGCTGAAACAGTCCTCAAAAAAAGGAAAAACATAAAGCCATCATAAGAAATCTGTTTGCTCAGTTTGCCTGGTTGGGGGTCACAACACATTTTCCGCAGAATTCTTGGACTCTTGCTGCACGCAAGTCTGAATCTTATATACTTGCATCTAGCCCCACCCAAACTTTCTGGTTGTGGAGGTTTCCTGAAATGGGGGTACCCCCAAATCATCCATTTCAATAGGACTTCCCATTAAAATAATATTATAAATTATAAGCCATCCATTCTGGGGTACCCCATTTATGGAAACCCCCATATGTAGATTTGAAGTTGGCTGGCACCAGGCCAACAAGTCCTGGGCCCTCAAAGCTCCCTTCCGATCGCTTCCCTTTCTTCCACCAAACCCCGGCTACGGTGCCAATCTGGTCACCTGGGGCCCTTTGGAATCCGCGGACTGAGTGGGCACAGCTTGTTGGTTTCGGATCCACCATGTTTACAAGCATAGGATATCCCCAAGTATTCATGGGTTATTATTATCCACTGACTTGACTGGGATGCATCTCCATGTCGATCCACGTAGGTTTGGGGATTACTCTCCGCATCTCCGAACCACGCAAGATCCGCCTACCCAGATCAAGAAACGCATCACGTGCAGCACAACCGGGGCCCCTCTGCCGTTGGGACAAGACAGGGCACCGAGACATAAAACGCCCGGTGAAAACACCGGCGGCCGTAGCCCATGCGTCGCATCAGAAAAAAGGATTAGATGGACGCCCGATGCACTGCCGAGGAAGATTGTAATTGGAAGAATTGAAACAAAATGATCCTCAATTCACTCTCGGCTTAATGGAATATCTACACCAAATCAATGGATTCACCAACTGAACTGGGGGTAACCTTCAAATTTTCCCTTCAGCCAATTCCCGGATTCATGCCATGCCATTGTTCGTGCTAACACCCCTTTCTGAGGGTTGCATATTTCTGATTAGCGGCTACAAATCTACTGCTGTTTCATAGTTTTTCCGCATCCATTTTCGATCAACCTCCAGCGCAGTGCCACAAAAACCTTTTGGATGTTTTTGGCCCACTTGTGGGCCTTCGGAAGAAGTGCTGAAACTGACATTCTGCTTCATCTCCCTCAAACCCATATTATCCAATGATTTACAAGTCACTGGAATGATGCAAACAAAATTTGAAATTGCAGAGGAATGCGGAAGTTTTTGGCATCAAATATTTGGGGGTCTTGCAAATTTGGCCCCAAATTCTGGCTATGCCCTTCACGGATGACCAGCAAAAAATCAGCGGTTTAGAACCCTCAAAAAGGAAATATGAGGACCCCTGTTGGAGCTGATCTCTACTCAAGGCAGCTGTCTTCCGATTGCTCTTATCCAAGTGGTCCCTCCGGCAGGTCCACCTTTAACGCCCAGACAAAAAAACCAGGAGTCAAAAGTCAAAATTGTGAACTCCCCAGAATACATGGTTGTGTCTATCAAATGCCTTGACCCCAAACTGCTGTGCAGCTGTGCAAACTGTTGCTAAATCACAACCAGTGGCGCCGACTCCATGTCAGGTGGTGCTCCCTTGAAGAGGTCCCCTAATTTGCGTGCACTCCGCGCTGCAAAGCGCGCATCTGGCCCCTCCTGTGCCGGGCCCCGAAATGGCGGAGGGGAAAGGCGGTGATGATGGGGGAACACTGGCGATCAATTTTGTGTGGGACCCCAAGGGACCCAGAAAAGATTTGTGCAAGCCACACTTGTGACAGACTGATTTCAACTAAATGGATGCAATGCACTAAAAAAATGTATGCATGTACGTGTATATATATATATGCACTTTGAACCCTGCAATTTTCCCTCTTTCCCGGACACAGCTGTCTGGCGAAAACTGAGAGACCGGGCACAAACTGCATGAGACACACACACACACACATATATATATATATATCCTAGTACACTATCCCTTTTCACAAAAAAACAGATTTGGTTTATGGTAAAGCAATGAAACTCAAATCATTATACCGTAAATTATACCCAATTAATTAACATACTCGGTCAGAAACTTGGTATGGTCAACCCGGGGCTGTACAGTGGGAGTATTCGATCACTAATCTACAACCTTTTAGGCACAATCAGAGTTTATCTGAGTGGTGGTTTCAACCTTGCAAGATTGTGCATCATCATCCCAAATCGAAGGAAAATTCAAAAGAATACTTGCAACATTTTGGAATCACCACCCAATTTATTTATTCCAGGTGATCAGTATGCCACCTTGATCCATGAAATAGCGTACCCCACGATCCAATGTTAGACCACAAACTGCAATTCGCGGGTTGGTGCTCAAAAAAAGAAGACTCAGTATATTCAAATCGTTGATTCATTGTTTTTTAAAAATTGATATACCATATAAGGTTTGTTTGAAAATTGAACACCCCAAAATCCATTGGTTACATCACATTGTCGGCTGCATATCCCATTGTTGTCCATGATTACCCCATTGCAACCGACTATTTTCTATTGTTATTATCAATATGTTATTAAGTTGTATGGTCTAGTATTACCTATCACTATTCAACATTATCGATTATAACTAGTAATTACCGGCAGTACCGTAGTACCGCACAAGGCAGGGGCGGAAGTGTATCTGTCTATGTCTGTGTCTATCTGTCCATCAGTCCATCTATCTATCTGTCTATCAGTCTATCTATCTCTCTATCTCTCTATTTATGCATCTGCCTATCTATCTACCTCTCTATCTATCTATTCTATGTATCTAATCTAATCTAATTTCATCTAGTTTAATCTAATCTATCTATCTATCTATCTATCTATCTATCTGGTCTAACCTTATTTAATCTAATCTTATCTTATCTTGTCTTGTTTTATCTTTGTTATCTATCTATCTGCCTATCTATCTATTTGCCTATCTACCCACCTATCTATCTATCTACCTATCTACCTATCTGCCTATCTACCTATCTCCCTATCTGTCTGTCTGCCTATCTATCTGTCTGTCTGTCTGTCTATCTATTTATCTATCTATCTATCTATGTGTCTGTCTATCTATCTGCCTATCTATCTATCTATCTATCTATCTATCTATGAATGAAAAGCCTTCCTTCTTCTCCTTCTTCCTTCTTCCTCCTTCCGCCAGCTGGTCGTCACCCAGATCTCACAGCAAGTGCCAGCTCCAGTAGAGCAGTCTCGCTCCCATGGATGGACGTCTACGACAAGGAAGTTGGAATGCAGTCGTTGGATCAGTCGTGGGCTCAAAGGGTAGCGGCAACGCATGCGATTCCCAATCCATGCAGTCCAGAAACGCTTCACGGCTAGCAAGTTTGACAGGCAATCAAGCACTTCCATCTGCTTCGGTCCCTTTGTCAAAAACAAATATGTACATATCTGTGTGTTTGTGTTTCCTTCCTTGTGTTCGCACTGATTCTTGGCATGCTGTAGCCCTAGCTCGTTTAGTTTGGCTTGATGGGCGAAGAGAGACCAGCACCAATGCTCGTCCGGCGGGAGGGGGGCCTGTGCGGCGGCTTCTGTGCTTGTGCTGCCCTCGCTGCCGTCCTGCGGCGGGGCGTTTTGGCAGGGCGACAAGGTCATTCAATTTTCTTATCGGAAATTTCCATCGTCCGGTACCATTACAAGATGTATACGCGTGCATTCTCATGTAAGGACACATTCTCATTCTCTCTCCGCTCTCCCTCTCTCTCTATATCTTCATCACCTTTAGATCCGTGCATTTTATATTAACTAGTCTTGCCAAATAGAATTTCGAATGCGCAATCTTGAAGTTGCACACCAATGCTTATAATTATAATGGTTTGAAATGTCGTTAGATGGAAGATACAAGTTGCCTTTAGCGAATAATTAAATGATGTGGCTCGTGCTCATCCCGGGCCCCAGCCGCACTCCCCGGCCTACTCTTGCAGCTCTGCCAGCAGAGCCCGCACGTGGCGGGCCACGCGCGCGGCCCAGGCACGGTGGGTGCGGTGGTGCCGAACTTCCCTCAGGCACCGGCGGGCTGCTTTGCCCAGTGCCGCCTTCAGGCGGTGCACCCTCAGGAGCTCCAGCACGTGCCCGTCCACCTCCTCCTTCGATGTGAATCAGGGGGTCCAAGGGGTCTAGAATTATACAGATAGGAATAGCTAGATCGTAGAGGCATACACACACATATAAATATAAATATATATATATGTATATATGTTGATATTTACATAAACAGTATATCTACTGTAGGTGTGTAGCCTTTTTTCGATTTTTCCTTTTTATTGCATCCATTGATCTTTCTGCACTAAGAAATGTCTCAATCCTGAATGGCCGATCGTTATCATGTCTATATATGAATATTGGATATTGTTATTTTTAGACCTGATAAATTCTGTTCTCAAGTCGTTGTTCGAGGAAATGTATCGAGTCATCGGTGATGAACCTACTTGCTCAAGCAATCTATGATAGAATCAGGATATATAATTGATGGTGCATCATTCGTGCTATTGAAATCTTTCTGTCATCGTGAATGCATTGTGGTTGGTCCTGCGCGGTCTGGCGTTGCCTTTGAACCCAATTCCTGGGCGCTGGCACTCCGCCAGGAGTTGGCTCACCCTCGACCGGCTGTACCCAAGGTGGTGTAGCGCCTGACGCACTTCAGCCTCATTGGGCTTCACCACCTTGAGTCTGTAGACTGCGAGCTGTGCAGGGCCGGGCATCTCTTGAGGTTCGGTTTGCAGAGGGGGGCAGTCGGTCTTGTGCTGGAGGTGGCTGCGGTTCCACATTCGGATAGGTGGCTCTGACCACCCGTATTAGCTGGGTCTTTGGGAGGTGATGGAATTCCGTCCTGAATTGCAGAATGATAATCAATCTACTTAGTAATCTACTTCCCATTCTCCCCAAAATCAATATCCATCTATATCAGCAGCTATCATCTATGGCCAATGTTCTTCCGACGGAAGAAGGCATGTTTATCCGGTATAACTGGCCAAGTTTTCAACGAGAATCGGAAGAAATTGCCTGTATGGCTGAAATGAAACTGTCAAACTGACGCGCTCATCGGCGCGCCCTTTTCAGGTGCGGTGCCAGCGAAGGGTGGTGTCTCTTGGTGGGCCGCACCTTGTCGGCAAACGGTAGCACGGATAAAAGAGAAATGTTGCTATATCAAAGGGCCAAAGATTGGACCCCCGCCTGTCGCAAGGGTGAGGTTGCCAGCGCAGCAAACCTTTGGCACACGTCCAGGAAGCAGGTGTTCAACATCAGCGAGAATAGGACTAAACTCATCGGAACACAGGCGAATGTTATTCCCAACCTGTCCTCCACCCCGTCCCCAATGAAACCTTTCTCCGAGGATGCTGGCTCCTTTGTTCGCGCACGGTGAAGAAGGGTAATTTAGAACAAAGTCACGTCAAGAAGTAGTTGGGTTACGGTTACACCTGTCCTGCGCGCAGCTCCTGCCTTTAGAAGCGGGGTTAATGCCAAACTGCGCACACAGCCACCATCAGCAATTGCCTGCGCGCATGAACAGCGTAGATTGAATAAAAGTTGAAGCACCAGATTGCATGCAACAGGTTCATCCGTTCTTGCCACATTGCTTGCACCATTGATGATTGCCAAAGCGGCAAATCTGTTGCAGAGGTCCTGGAAGCTTCAAGAAAAGGGAATGAGTGAATATGTTTAGCATGTGTAAAACATGGTCACATGTTTCTGAATAGAGGCACACGGCAGTCTGGGCACACATACTAACAGGATGTACGCCACTTACTCAAGCATCAGGCCTCTTACCGGACTTGAAGCATTTGAACGTCATGTGGAAACAAAAACTGGCTTGAGCGCCACCGCCGCAACCACAGCCCGGACCAGAAACCAAACCGGAAACCCAAGAAGGGCCAAGGTCCACGTCCTGGCCGGCGATGATGGCCGCTTTGCATTGTCTTACAGAAAGATCTCTTAGCAAGACCTCTGTTCTCTTTACAAAGTCTCTGCGGGAGATCTCTACAAGAGGTCTCCTGGCAAGATCTCTGTACTGTACAAGCATGAAACATCCCCGGGCAAGGTTTCTGTAAGACATCTTTTTTACAAGATCTCTGCTCAAGCTCTCTGCAGAAGCTCTCTAGAAGAGATCTCGTAGCAACATCTCTGTAAGAGACCTCATGCCAAGATCTATGCAAGAGATATCTGTTCAAGGTCTCTGCGCAAGATTTCTAAAAGAAGTCTCTTGGCAAGAACTCTGCAAGAGATCGGTGTAAAAGATGTCTCCACAAGGTCTCTGAAAGATCTCTTGGCAAGATCGCTGTAGTAGATCTCTGCACAAGGTCTCTGACAGGGATCCCCAAAAAACTCCATACAAGATCTCTAGGGAGAGATTTTTGAACAAAACCTCTGCTCAAGCTCGCTACAGCAGATCTATTGATAAGATCTCTGTAAGGGACCTCTTGGCAAGAGATCTCTACGCGAGGTCTCTGTGCAAGATCTCTAGAAGAGGTCAAGATCGCTGTAAGACATCTTTTTACAAGATCTCCGTACAAGGTCACCCTCAGGGACCTCTATACATGATCTTTGCACAAGAGCTCTTAGCCTAGATCTCTGTACGAGACCTGTTGGCAAGTCCTCTGCAAGAGATCACTATGCAAGAGGTCTTTTGGCAAGATCTTTATACAAGCTCTCTAAAAGAGGTGACTTGGCAAGATCTCTGTAAGAGACCCCTGGGCAAGATCTTTGCAAGAGATCTCCATCCAAGCCCTGTAAACAAGATATCTGCAGGAGATCTCTGTACAAAATCTCGTACGAGGTCTCTATCAGAGATATCCACGCAGGATCTCTGTAAGAGATCTCTGTACTAGTACGAGGTCCCTGTATGAGGTCTCTAACAGAGATCCCTTGGCAAGATGTCAGTGAGAGATCCCGTGTCAAGATCCCTGCGCAAGCTCTCTTGGACAGAATCAGCGCCGCGCTACAGCAAGAGCGATCTGACACGCGCAAAGTGACGAGATGATTGCGCGCGCCATCTCAAAATGATCACCACACCGCATGAGAGCGATCTGGCAAGAACAAGGCGACCAGGGGGTTGCATAAGCCATGTCAACATGAGCACCGCGCCGCAACGAGAGCGATCCAACACGCACAAAGTGACAAGTGAACATTCAACGTATGAAAAGCGATACTTTACCTACGTAGGTTTTGGGCACCTTTTCGTCGAAGTCTCTAAAGTACTGCGCCTGCCGCCGCAAAAAATGAGCCTGGCATCCGAAGTCCTGCACCTGGCGCGCGAAATCATCATTGTGTACCAAATCAAAAATTACAGCTGCTTCACAAAAAGACATTGAGCCTATTAAAACATCGTCCAAGTTCACCAAATACTGTGCCTGCCACGAAAAGTGACCGCACCTCTCATTTCGACACAGGCCTGCCAACGCTGTAGCAACGTGCATGATCTAAGTCTCTAAATACCACGCCTGATTGCGGAAAGGATCGCTTACCACACGTGGGAAAAATCCTCTTCTTCGTCCCCCTGCAGCATCTGCAAGATTTGAATTTCTCTTGTTGGAAATCACACCGGCCTTCTCCATTCTCGAGTTTTTCCGTGTTGTGAAGGACCCAAGCTCATTGCTGGAAAGACTTGCTAACAGGATTGTACCTCATTCTCAAGACGAACCTCGGCAGCTTGAAGGCCTTTGTGTCCAAAAATTGTTCACTCAGTTGTTGCGTGTGTCGGACCATATGGGCACTTCCAAGTCTCTGTCAGTCCAGAGTGTCGTCATAGTCAACACCGTTTCTAACCTGAAGGCTCTCACAGGTGCGCATGCCACATGTATATCCCACACGGTTATCGATGAGTTGGATGGACAAAATCACTGAACAACACTGCATTTTTGATATTTTAATATGACCGAGCGCTTCTCAGATTTTCATTGAACAAACCAAAAGAAACCAGCAAAACAACCTATGAGAAAGTAATCATATGCGAAAAATCTTACTCGAAGGAGAAAAGCAAGCAGGCAAACAATGAGGCAGTGCGTAGAAGTAAGAAGAAACCCGCAAATGTCAACCAACTTTATTATCTTTATTGACAATCATAGGAAACACTTCCGCACTAGTAAGTAATTTTGCTCACTTACTACACTTGCAATCTTCGGCCTATTTTTGCGTGTTCGTTACTTGAGTTTAATGCAAGATTGACCGGCCCCTTCATGCACAACACTGGCCAGGATGCACCGCTTTTTGCATGTTGTTAGGTGGACATAGTTAAGTTAAGCACGCCGTTCATTGTTCCATATGTTTTGCCCAGCACAAACCCAAGTGCTGGCTCACCTGGGTGAATTGTCACTGCACATTTAGCTCATCACACTTAAAATCATTAATTCGCTCTACATGTTGAGAATACCGGATGGGACACTCGGACACCACTGGTTAAACTGTTTCGCAATTATTGCGTCTCTTCTCCGATCTTCTTTCTTCTTCCTTTCTCTTCTCTGACTCTGGACACCTCTGTTTTTCCATCTGTCCATATTGTCGGAAGTTTGGCTTCTAATCTAAACTAAACTTCCTTCGGTTATCTATTGTTGTCTCTGATTATCAAATGTTTGTTGCTATCGATATTATCTATACATAATAATATCTGAGTATGTAATTATCATTATATATCATTTTCTGTCATTGTCTATCATTCTCTACCATTATAACCATATCATTAGCATTATCGATTATTATCTACTCTCCCACGATCCCACCATTACCCAATTATTAGTCCAATGATTTGTTGCTTGCATAGTTCATTATCATTACATAGCAAAAGGATCCTGTCCAATCCAAAGGTTGCCAAGTTTTCTTGCAACCTTTGGATGTCCCAATGAATGAATGTTACACAGCATATAGCTGGCTGAATATCTACTGTTATTATCATTGTTATTATTCTCATTATGATTATTATTGCGTACTATGCCAACTCCAAATATCAAACAACTATGTACTGACCACTACGAATTGGGATACCTGTGTTAGACGGATTATTAATGATTCTCATCTATATAGTTTTACAATAATAATGAACATCAACCAACTATAGGTGACCCATAGATCATCCTGATGACTCTTTTTAACCTTAGGCTGGTTTTGAACTATCATAAAATCACTACTGGGGTGGTTCAAATGAGGCTGCACCCTCTGGTAATCAAACATGGCAATGGGAAATTCCTCATTTCTAGTTGTTTGTCCTTGTCCAATTGAATCCTCCATGTCAAAAGGGGATTTTCAAGTGCCAGGTTTGATTGCTAGAGTCACAGAATTGGATGGGAAAATTTACAGGAAACCCCTATAGTTGATGGTTTAAAAAAAAATGGTTTCCTGTAGATTTTCTCTTAAACCAATGCGTTGACAGAAGGCAACCCTCGGGGTTATCACACTCTGTGCAGAGCACTCCTCCTCCATCTGTCGGCGCCGCCTGAAGACATCCTCCTAAGGACGTGGAGTCAAGTCGATCGTGGGGAGCGAAAGGGGTAACCAACAAACACATTGGTGCTAACAACTAAGAATGGAGATAGCTATGAACAATCACATGAATCACATGTGTTTTTTTGCAAAGAACAATCAGTTACACTAGCAACAAAAGCTAAACATTGGGAATTTGAGATAAATTAAGAAGTTCCAGGTTGGATCCTTAACATCTCAAGCATTCCCAGCGCCTGTCGGTGCTTGTAGAACAGTCGCAGGGCAGACGTCTCCTGGCTCGTGTTTCATGTCCCATGGCCCTTCATGGCCCACCTTTTAGCTGCCTTAAATTCTCTTCTTTACTGGCTGTCTCCCATCAAATTCCACTTTCAACCGCTTATTGAGGCTTATTTCTCATTTTCTCTAGCCTAAAGGGCCTAAAACCTCAAAATCATTCAAACTCCAAATATGATTTTACTATTTTCTCTAAAAATCCCCATGTTTTTTCACTGACAAACAGTCCTGCATGATTCGCCCATCGAAGAAATCTGGAGCTTTCGTGAACCGCCTCAGGGACGGGCGAAGGAATGCCACTTGGAAGCCGATGACAAAGGTCCAAGAAGGATTTTTCCAGAAAAACTGGGATTTAACCAACAGAAGTGACAGAGAAGATTTTACCCAAAATCACGAGGATTGAAATTGCAAAAAATTGGATTCAACTCAAAATCCTGCGAAATTCACCAACCAGAATTGGGCCATAAACAACCAACATAATTATGGATTTGAACAAAGCATAAGTTGGGATTGAAAACAGTGATTGGGATTTAGTCAGCAAAAAATGGGATCAACATCCACAACAACTAGATATCTTGGTGTGAAAATCAGAGTGCCAGTGTTTGACATCTACCCATATCTCATGTTACATCACCGGGGGAACCCTAGTTGGTCATAAGGTCGGACACGAAGCATGTGATTTTCCCCCCCATTAATTTTGGGATATTAATTTCCCACCCAAAAAATGCTGTATCTCCGAACCAGAAATTCGTTCCTCCCATAAAAACTCGACCTTTTCAGCTTGATTTTCGAGGCTTTAGCGGCTAAGCCAGGCTAAGCCCAGCCACGCCGATTTTCGCGTCCGTTCATCCCACGGCTGAAGGCCAATCAATTTCTGGTGCCTGGAATGCTACCCCTGGGCTGATCTATTCCCCGATTTATACACAGATTTATACACAGTCACCCTGGAGTTTTTGCGGAAATGTCAAGAATCATCACTCAAGTGGGTTAAATATCACAAAGCAAAGTCCATATTCTGAATCTACTTCCTTGAATTATTAGAGATAGTCTAGTGATCAGTGGTTTTACATATTCTTCAACCGTTCTGAAATTAATCAAATCGGATTTTTCATACCAATACATTCCACCAGGCTTTTGGGTTTAGGGGGTGACTTTTCCTCCGGGAATGGGATTCGGGATTTTTTCCTCCTAAAATCCGCTTGTTCGACTCAGTTCTACCCTGTGTTCATTGAATTGTCGTAGTACTTTTTGATGGTTAAAAATGAGTCACAAATGACCTTCGATAAAATAAATCCACTGAGGAGAATTCGGGGCTGGACAGATGGCAAGCTATGTCAATCCCGTCTACAAGTGAACATTCATATATATATATATAAGCGGGATTGACATCTATATTTGCCCATCTTGTAAATCCCACATCTGATGATTTGATAAGTGATACAGTGACTGCTACCGACTTGGAGCGATTTGTCTGTGTAAATCCCACGTAAAAACTAATCCCCACTCCTTTCGGATGGATGACGTTCCCAAAAGGATAGAATGTGACAGGATGAGTTAGATATCTACATCATTCGTGACATCACCGTCGTTAAATAGTAGGGATTACTATACAACTTTCATCAACGTTCTATCTTCTGGGTTCCAAAAATGTTGGGGTTGAAGTTCATGCCCAAATTTCAGAAAAAACATACCATCAAGTACCAGGTCCTTCCATCTGGTTCCATAAACAACCTTTCTATCTATTCTCCAATAATCGACCGAAATTACAATTGTATGGTCTTGCAAGTGCAGAAAACCCATGAAAACCCGTTGCATGATGCTTTGGGGTTAAACTTCCAAGTCTTGGAGACTCAAAGATATCCCATTTTCATCATTTTCTATACACCATGCCATCATGCCAACTACTTGAAGTCAACAAAGAGGCAAACTTACAAGACACAACTTCCAACGATGCTGCAGTTCCCTCTGCAAGCCAAAATCACGATGGGTACCAGTAGGAATCAGCGGTTCAAGTTCGGTATGTCCACAAATCTCAAAGCCACGAGTTTTTTTTGACTTTCAGATCAGGCCTAGTGACACATCCCTAGGAGTTGGTATATAAATCAGGTTGCTCATGTCAATCTGAGAAGTTGGTGCCCTGAAAAACCAAGGAGCACAGCTTCTTGGCCACCATGGGAATTAACTAGCCATCATAAAGAGATCATCACTGGGGACCAGGCGAAATCGCCTGGGATATGTTCGTACCAGCTACTAGCCATATCTCAACTGGGGCCAAAGGGAGTTTCCAAAAATTTTTGGAGGTGTCCATACAAAATGACCCCCAGTCATGGTATATATGATATATATGATATATATAATCCAAGTCAAGACAGACCATGACTTTGTATTGCAAGAACCATGGTGACGACTTGCCCCAACAAAAACTCACTGGACTGCACCTCTGCGATGTGCGTTGCAAGCCCCGGCAGTAGCGCAGCTTGTGCGCACGCTCGCTCTCTGACCTAGGGATGAATCCAGCTGTTACGGGAGAATAGCACTGGATTGATTTTAGACAGAATCTAGGGCCTTCAAATCGTCCTTTTTCCCATCAAATACAGTATATATTATAGTATAATACGGTGTTATAGATTATATAGGATGATATAAGGTTTCCTGCAATAGGTACCTTCAACCCATGTGTGGGACTCAAAAAACACTTCGCCGTTGTCCGGTCAGATGTCGTGAATAGAGCACCCTCATAAGATCGCAGGTACGCTGAAACAAAACTGCGTAGAACTCCAGAAAAAGGCGCAAACCCCCATGTGCCCTCATACCCCTGCTGTGTTCTAACCTCTTTTTGGTCGCTAAGGTTCAATCCTAATTCCCAATCTTCATTTGATTCTTCTCTGGTACTCATGAAATGGGTAATTACCTACAAAATTCTAGAATCCACATAAGTATGTTTGTTCTTGCTTGGACCAACATGTTGAAGGGTAGTTACAATCCGGTTTTTGCCTGTCATTGTGGGTAGTTACAAGATGTTACAAGTATGTATCACCTCAGAAGCGGCACATCAGAGAGATTTTCGAATCAAAACCGAAAATGGATGAAAATGGATCAACTTGGGCCTTCTGCTAATGCAGCTGCGGTCCAGTCACTTTTGCCACCAAACCTTTGAGGCTCGGCCATTGTCCATTTCCAGATTGATCTGCACCTCAGCTGGGGTCCCAGAGTCCCAGCTCCTGTGAAACCAATTTCGACCAGGTTTCGGCGATGTAAAGCACGAAAAAGAATTTCAACATGAGCAGCATCAAGTTCTACTGGTTGCGAACTAGTTCTACTGGTTCACTGATCCGGTAATGGATTGTAGAACCCCTATTATTGACAGTAAACCAATGGCTTTTTGAGACTGCTCATAGTAGATCTTCAACTGCTCACCATGATCACTTCGACATAGCCTCACCTGTGACCTTTCCCCAGAACCATCATCTCAACGGAAAAGCCAACAGTGGGTCACCCGTAAATCCCAGCGGCGAGGTCTCCGGGCTCAAAGCTCTCCTCTTCACCTGCATCGATGCTGAAATTTGGACGGGAGGCGTTGCTAATGGTATAGAATTTGTATCTACATATCGATATAAAGTAGTGGGATAGTTGTTGTTTATATCTACATATGGGTATATGATGATGGTATGTGTATGTATGTATAATATATATAATAAGCATATATCAGCAACAATATGGAACAATAATCGGATAATGGAATAATGTAGTCGGATAATATTGGCATAATGGTGGGATAATCATCGGAAAAAATGATGACTAAACATGATTAACCACCAAATTAGGGGTGTATACTATTTTCAGACAAACCCCAGAATATAGAGAGAACCTGGAAATCCAAGCATCATGATCATCACAACTAAATGGAACTCTGACGGATTTATCTTGGTCCACTTGCATTTGTCCACTTCTTGCATCCATAAAATATACCCTCTGGTAAACTAACATAGCTATGCAAAATCACCATGCTATTAATGGGAAAACTCACTATTTCAATGACCATTTTCAATAGTTTTTTGTATGTTTACCAGAGGGTATCCCATCCCCATGCAATCCCTAGTTTGATTCAACCCGCTCCGTGACACCCGGAGGCGACATAAATCCTTCCAAAATCCAGCTGCTGGAACTCTATTCATCACACTCCGGCTGAAGATCATCCAACCAAGGTGGCCATCAGCTTTTCACATTTGGTTGTGGTCAACACCCCAAAAAAAAACTCTGGCATCACACATCCCAAGAATGAGCAGAATGGTCTTGGCTGGGATAATGGGTTTGGACCTACTCCCAGTCTCCAATTTTCCAGCCAGCTGTGGGGAATTCTCAAAGCCAATTCCCACCAAACATCATCCAATCCCCAAATCCCCAAACGAAACCCTGGTTTAGCCTTGGATCTACAGTACTTATTTTTTTTAGGGTGCCAATTTTTGGGGAACCCATCAGATTGGGGCACATCAAGTTGCAGCCAGGTTGCCAATGCACCAATAGTAGTCGAGCCCCTCTTCATCTGGCCCTTCCAGTCCAGTGGTCGAACCATTCTTGGGATGGAGCGTGCACAGCCAATTGCCTCAAATGTAGGCAACAAAGACCCCGGGCGGCCAGAAACCACGGGGAGAAAGCTAGCCATGTGCATAGAACCGGCAATCATGGGAGTCTAACTCGCAAAACAAATCATTGAAGGCGGCATAATCGGAGAAGAGGCGGTGGATACTATTCATTTATATTTCGTGTATATATATATATATACATATACATACACATTTATACATTATATTGCAAAAATACATATAACATAACAGAACAGAACACAACAAAACATAACATAACATCAGAAACATCAGAAACATCAGAAATAAAGGCATAAATCTGAGTGTCCGACTATGATGTCACCTGAAAAAGAAGACCACTTGATGGACCTGCTTTAAAGAGTGAAAACCTGAAAAACCAATGGGTTTGATCCAGATAACCCCCATGTTTCAACGTCCATTTCTTCATCATTCAAATTATATATATATATAATATAATAAATATATATATAATATAGTTAGAATGGGCCTTGCCCATCTTCCAAACCCTGAACCACAAACCTCACAGCCCCCAACATACACAACATCTCACAAAAATTTCATCAAAACTAACCACATACACCCAACCAAAAACCAATCAGAACAATCAACCACAAACCCAAATGCAAAAACAATTCCAAATTTTCAACAAGACAAGTCTTGTTGAAAAATTGCCCGCCTAAATTTACATAAACAATAATCACCAAACAATACACCATAAACCAAAACAGAAACTCACCACAAACAACATCACAAAAAAATCTACCAGCCTAACCTTGCCCACTTAGATTACATCCCAAAAATTATGTTATAATTTATGTGGTATATTTATTGTCGGGCATCATGTCGGTTTCGTTTGAACATTTACGCAGTGTTTGCAAGAATGGTCCCTGTTCATCTCAAGGTCGTTTTCCAACAAATGCACTGTCGCAACATTGCCTGTACCGAGATGCAGTCAGCCACGTCAGCCACTTTTGGGCTATTTGGGCGGGAATTTCCACAAGTGCGCCGGCACCGGCAAGGAACTCTTTCCCCAATCTGTCATCGGGTCAAGCATCATGCTTTCCACCTCACGTTTGATGCCATCCACCGTTGCGCCCACATGCTTGAAGCGCTTTGCTGTCTCCTCCACCGTGTCATTGTAGTATTCATGTAGATAATCTTCGCGCTTCTTGCGTTCCCTCATGCCCTGAAGATTGCCAGCCAACTCATTGCACCCCACAATCACATCTGCCAACTCGTGACCCACCAAGTTGTACATAATGGCTTCCTCCTTTGCCATGTTGTCCAGCTCCTGCAGGCCTTGAAAAACATGCAAACAGCAGTCCTTCTCCCTTGCATCATTCCATCCTTGCGCTCCAAGGTTAAAATCGTCTCCTAAAGGGGTTGGGAGGTGAATTTTGCCCTTGGTGCTCTTCTCACACCAAATGGCTCGGTCAAACTTCGGGATGAAGTGCTTGAGGAGGACGTCGCTGATGATGGGGCGATTGTAAGCGCTGCCCCCCGTATTGACGATGACCGGCACGATGAAGAAGCAGCCATGTCCGTCCTTCAAGCTGCGTATTTGCCAGTTCTTTCCCTTGAAATAGTGAATTCGGCTAGCATAAAAGCCAGTGGCTTCACGCAAGTAAAGCTTGCTGATTGGCGGTCTCAGGTGGGGACTAAGAAGTAGAACGTCCAGACGTGTCTCTGTCATGACACCGCCCGAGCACATCTTCGCCATGCGACAAAGTCGTAGCGCCATCGCGTGCCTTTCCACAAACACTACGTGGGGCTTTGAACCAATATGTCTTGCAACCTTTGGATGATGTCAGCCCCAGAGACTGCCACGAGCTATTGGAAGGAACAGCGCATAAAGTGAAGGAAACTCTAAAGTATCTGTAGATTCATAGATGTTGATTTCGGAACCTCATTGACAAAACGTCTTTGAACACTAGCCATCAGGAACCTGCGCCAATCTACTCATGAAGCTGTCTCATGGTTTTTGGCAGCGCATTCCGATTTTGCCATTGTGCAAGCTTTGCTTGCCTACTACAGTGGCCTTGCCCATCTTCCACCCTGTGGGAGGGGATGTTTGTTTGCGTGTTGTTGTTGTGTATGCTGGGTTGCTGGGGGTATGGGAGGGGCGAGGTGTGAGAGAAAAGTTGTTTAGCAAATTTTCAAAACAATATCTTTTTGGATATTATTATGAAACTATTTTGGCAAAATATTTATAATATATTCACCCCTTTCGTCCCGCATGATGTGGTAATAATCTAAAGTTTTGGCTACAGGGTTTTTAATCTTTCCAGCCTTCACCATTTCAAAGTATTGCTTTTGCTTTTCCTCAAATGTTCCACGGGGCTTACCTACACCTCTTTTTTCAAAGATTTCCTCCATCTTCTTTTTCTCTTCCTCCTTGGTTTCAGCATCCTTACCATCTGGCAGTTCATTCAGTTTGGAAAGTATTGCAGATAACATTTTGCTGTTATTTTTGCTGTGCTCATAGATATTGCTTAACAAATTGTAATCAACTTCATCTACCTTAGGGCTCATAAGGATATATACTAAATTAGAAATTTCTTAATATTTATTTAATTATTTAATAATACATGTTTAAGTAATTATTCTAAATCATTCAATGAGTTTTGTTTCTTCTTATTACTTCGTGGGGGTTCCATTACATCACTTATCATTCTATTTGTACTTTCTACTTTCTTATCTTCTGGAGTAATTTGCCTGTTCCAAGAAAAGGAGATACTATGGTCTTCGCTTTCTAATGTAATCCCTCCTTCATCATCTTTATTGACATTCATTGATTTATCATTTTTGTAATTTTGAAACTACAAGGATTACAACGGCAAGTTATGCCCTTAGGATTGATTTCAATTTCATTTCAAAACTGTAATTTACCATAACATAACGGACAATCAAATATAATAGTTTTACCTGTTAATTTTTGTTCGTTATTTAAACTAACCATTTTAGGTTCATCATCCGACAACTCAAAATCTTCAGGGATTGGTTGCTTTTTAATTTTACTCACTGTTCTTTTTGGTGGCATTATTATATACTAGATAGTTTATTAAAATTTTGATAATTTCAAAACACATTTTTAAGAACATGTTTATTCTACCATCCTCAACTACTGGATATTTAGCACCATCAGCAATCCTATTTTCAATCTCGTCTATTGTATCTATGTAGGTTTCATTCTCGTTCATCCTGATTATATATAATTAGAAAATGTCATCAACATACATTCTAATTATGCTATACAGGACTTTTCTTAGCCAGACGCAAAGATTTATACCTGGGGACGGTGAGGTAAAAAAAATGTCGGGGAGCAATCAAAAGAAAACAAGCAAAACGAATTCAACTTCTATTGCTTCGTTTGTCAGCGCATTCTCAAAACTAATTAGCGTCTTATGCGGGTTGAAAAAAGCCACTGTCCCATCGCTGAGCCATGAATTTTTATGCGAAGGTTCTTTTTATCAACAATATATAATATAAATATGTTTATATATATTAATAATGAGTAAATTAGATGTTTCCAAGATTGAACCTATCAATGTAAAACAATATGAATTCAAGCAATCACCATATCCTCAGGCTGATAAGTTGCCTTTTAGAAGTATCATTGTTTCGGCATCACAAGGGGGTAAAGGCATATTAATACAAAATTTAGTGTTGAAGATTTACAGGGGTTGCTTTGAGAGAATTTGGATTGTTAGTCCAACAGCACACCTTGATGAAGCCTACAAAGAAGTGATAAAATATATACAGAAGGAACTAAATGTAGATAATAAAAAAGAACAATTTTTGTTTGATGAGTATGATGGAGACGCATTACAAAAAATCATAGACACACAACATAAAGTTATAGAATACCAGAAGAAGAACAAAATGAAGAAACTTTTTAGTTGCTTATTGATTATAGACGATTTTGCAGAGGATAGAGTGTTTATGAAATATTCAAAGGTTTTGCATGGTCTTTACACTAAATCAAGACATTTTGGATTGTCAGTAATCACAGCAACACAGAAATATAATGCCCTTGCGCCGATAGTTGGATTAAACACATCTTCATTATATATCTTTAAATTTAAAAATATGAAAGAAATTGACACCTTCATAGAAGAACAATCAGCACTGGTTGATAAGAAAACTTTGTATGAAATTTATAAAGTAGCAACCGAAGAACCCTACTCTTTCTTATTTGTTAAACTTCGCATTAGTGATGTAAATAAGATATTTATGAAGAGACTAGAAGCAGAAATTCATATTAATTAATAATATTATTATTAAATAATATTATTAAATTAATGAATAAGAACATAAAATAACAGCAGGTAGTTTATACATTATTCTATCAGATTTTTTTCTTCTATTTCCTTCAGTTTATGAGATATTTCTTTTATTGCTTTAATCTGTAGCCTATCTATATTACTGATGTCTAAATTATTTTCATCAATGTTATTCAATTCTTCCATACAATTATTTTTAACTGTAGATTGTTTAGAGCCCATTATATATTATAATATATAGTTTAATCTTCAGGTTTTGATTTTGCTTTTGTTTTTGCTTTAGGTTTAGGTTTAACTAGTTCTTTTATTGCTTCTTGTAATTCCCCAAGGCAGTAGTATAGATGGAGATATAACCATATTTGACTATAACCATTTTGACATTAGAAATTATAGGGAGTGGTTATGGACAGCAATTACAAGAGCCAGAGATTTAAACAAGGTAAAGTTCTATAAATATAGTGATGATGTAAATGATGAATTCAACTACAAATGTATGAAAAGTTATTATGAAAGAAAAATTGAAAATTACAAGCAACAGGACAGGAAAGCAAAAAGAAAAATACCAAAAGAAGGCTATGTAAAATGCTAAATGGTTTTTTGATAATATAACTAACCAATGCAATTACTGTGGATGTGGGTTTCATACAACTATAAAAAAAAATGGAAATATAACAACAAACCTAACAGCGCAAAGAGTAAATAATGATTACACTCATACACTGGATAATATAATACCATATTGTAAGAGATGTAATAGTAGTTGTGGAAAATATTAAGTATAAAAATATACATATATACATTAATATTTATATAAAATAAAATCAGAGGCTTCAGACCATCACTCTGCTTGATGCGCTCCTTCTTCTGCTGACAGGGGGGTGCAATGGGGAGGTGGGTTAAAGGGGTTTATTAATAATATTTCTGTTAAAAAGTATTTAAAGAAATATTATGAATGATAATATATAATCATAATTTAATACATATGGTTTAAGACATTCTAATAAGAATAGTTTTTTCTATCAACCTAACCTTGCCCGACAAACTACCACAGAAATTATAACATATTTTTTGGGATGATATATAGTGGGCAAGGTTATGCTGTTAGAATTTTTTGTGATGTTGTTTGTGGTGAGTTTTTGTTTTGGTTTATGGATTATTGTTTGATTATTATTGTTTATGTAAATTTAGGCGGGCAATTTTTCAACAAGACTTGTCTTGTTGAAAAATTGGAATTGTTTTTGCATTTGGGTTTGTGGTTGATTGTTCTGATTGGTTTTTGGTTGGGTGTATGTGGTTAGCTTTGATGAAATTTTTGTGAGATGTTGTGTATGTTAGGGGCTGTGAGGTTTGGGGTTCAGGGTTTGGAAGATGGGCAAGGCCCATTCTAACTAATATATATATAATGTAAGATAATATAATATAATATAACATAACATAACATATATATATATATATATACGGCCTACAGCGTTTAACGCTTTATGACGTTTCTGCTCTCGTCCGAATCCCATTCGCAGGGTCAAAGGTACGATTCAGCAGGATCTGAAATGTCTCCTTGTTGCTGCCCATAACCACCTTAGCTGTGTTGCTTCTGAAGACCAGTTGATGCGAAAAAAAAAAAAAACGGCACCATAGCTTGGAGTGTTTCTTCAAAAAACAGGCTACCCTGGTTTTTCCCATTGGTTTAAATCCACTAGTTTCCCATGGTTGACAACTTGACAACCACTCCTTTCACCAGTTTCATCGAAGCCCATCCCCACAGACCATCGCCAGGGCTCTTCCACAGACCGGCTCCGTCCACAGTTCTCTTCCCGCATCTCCTCCAGATGGGGACATCATCGAGAAACCCAAAAAGGATATGAAAATCCGGGAGAAACCCATGATATCCCCATGATCATGGGATATGAATAGGATATGTCTCCCCAATTTTGGGGATCTCCGGATATCGGATATCGAACGAATGGGTTTCGTAGGGATCACCCTGCCTGGCAGGTCTGAAAGTTGTTCCAAGACCCAGCCACGTAGTAAGCTTGTCTTCTCCAAACATCCTGGCGAGGTCTGTCCATGTTTCCGATGTTCACCATATGGACGAGCAAAATTGAAACTGCTCAAGTAAGGTGACAGTTCAGAATCCCTAGTCAACTAGGTGAATTACATTTAACCCTGTTTGGATGATCAACCACAGCTGTAGCTGCTGTGAAAGCCTGCAGTTTCTCATTTTAACCGCACCTCCCACTCCACTGGACTGTGGCCCGCAAACTGCCACCGCAAGATCTTGCCCATCCTTGGGTGTGACTTTGGCAGCTGATGAAGATACATCGGACAAAAATTGCACCCTAGTTACTCATATACGTATCCCCAGGATATCCCCAGGCAAATATCTGGATTCTGGATTATAAACCACGGATTGCCTTTTTTTACATAGTAATTACATAGTAATAGTGATGCAATGATTATCAATGATGATTTTTGTCCGCAACAAATGGGAAAATTGACGTGTTAACCAACGATTTTGATGACATTGATATGACTGATATTTGAAAAAAAAAAACGAACTCAAGAGAAAGTTACAAGGAAAAGAAATCGTATGAAACTGCACTCATGAGGTAAACAAATCATTGAGATTCGACCAATTAATCCTGGAAAGGATCTCAAAATGGCAAAAACGCGGCCCGGCGATTGTTGACCCAAATTGAGGACTCCACGACATGGAATAGTTAACGTGACTCCAATCTCTGGGAACAAAACCGTTATCTTTAACTGGTTTGAGGATGTTTGAGGCTTCCCAAATGTATCCCAAACTGCGCTCAAGCGATGGTCTAGATAAATGTCATCCTATGTCATCCTATTCCGGATGATTTCCCAAATTTTTTCCCATTGACCATCGCCCAAGCAACGGGTCGAAGACAACTCCTCGGCACAGCTGGGTTGGGAAATCCAGCTGTTGTCACTAAAATTGGTGGTTTCAGTACTAAAATGGTGACTCATCTACTCATAGATGATCTAAAATTCGATGATATACTAAGGTCATCTAATGACTTGGATGGGGTACCCCCATATTAAGAAACCGAACATATTCGAAACATATCAACCACGCATAGCCAGAGTTGGTCTAGAAAAATCGAATGAAAGTCAGTGACGGGACTCCCAAGTTGTCCCCTCTGTCAAGGGCCAAATTCATTGAGGTTTCAATGCTCCAAAACTTCATTTGATGAGCCAAAAGGTACCTCATCAAATGGCTTCATCATCAAATGAAGTTTTGGAGCATTGAAATATGGGTTCAATAGCTTCAATGCCCCAAAACTTCAATGTTCCAATGCAGATAATGATGATCTGTAATGAACCCATCGGATTTCAGACCAATTGGTATGTGCTGTCAACCATCAACCGTCACGTAAGATACGCTTCTGCAAAAAAATGAACATCGGCAGACATTTGAACTTGACGCTTCTTCTCATGTTTCTCCAAGGTTGGGCTTGAAAGCTGCAAAGCACGGTCCATCCATTTGTTCGTGGTATCAATACTCAATCTTAAAAGTGCGGATGAATAGGTTTATACTCAAAACGGGATGACTTTCTGCTGGAGACGACACAAATCTGTGGTTCGCGAGGTTTTCAGGTCTGACCAAATAATGACTTGTCATACACCATCATATACCCCGCAAATGCGTGTCTTCTTGACGCAAGAAACTGGTTCACTACCAAGGTCATAAGTCAATCACAAGAAGGCTTTTTGGGACCGGTGTCTTTATCTTTCATGGGAACAGGTAACCATGGGTAATTAAAAGTTATGACCGGTCAGCATCAGCCGCTAAACATATGGCTCTTCAGCACTTCCCAAGCGTGATCTCACCCCATCAGATCCATCGAGGCTCTGTAGAAATCCCCGACTTTTCCAGTGATTTGAAAGTTCGAAACCTCGCTATCTTCATCTGGACCAAGGATAGCCTTGAAGCCCAAGTTCGAAACAAGGAAAAGGACAAGAGGGGAGGGGACCATATGGGACCATGAAAAGGTGGCCAAAAGTTGCACCAACTCGTCCTAAAACCCGTTCTTTCCATCGTTCGAAGCATCCTTTCTGTTGGGGGAATGATTTTTGTGTGCCATCATTCTGGTTTCACCATGTTTCACCCGTTTTTACCTGGGGACACCCTGCCTTTCATGCGTCGAAAAATGGGACACCCTGCCCCAACTGTGACATTTCTGTCGTTTCGGTGCCCCAGCTCCCGGAAGTTAAGAGCCCCCACTGGTCCACTGAGCCCTGTCCACGCACCATCCTCTCCTGGCAGTTTACACTTCCGGGCGCTCAAAAATGGGGCTAGGTCGTTAGGTCACACTGAAACAGCCCAAGTAAATTACCACCCAATAAACCCTCTCTTCTGTTCATTTGGGACATGGTCGACATGGTCATTTGAGACACGGTCACTGACTTGACCCATGCCCAAATCGGGGGGAGTTGGTCATCTATGGTAAATTTACCCCCAATTACATAAGTGGATGATCATCTATACTAATCTATACCACAATGGATTGGTTTAAGGGAAAATTTACAGGAAACCATAGATTTTCCCAATGAATATGGGGTTTTCCTGTAAAATTTCCCTTAATCCAATCCATTGAATACCACAAAATTGGATGATTTACTGCAACTAAACCATTTCTTAAACTACTGTAACTCATCAGGCCATCCCCCAGCCATTTGCAGCCTGAAAAAAACCACACCGGAACTGATCAGGTGAAAAACACTGCAGTTGTCGCGAATACAAAGCTACTACTAAATGGCTATAGATGGCTATAGTAACTTTAAACATCTATACATATATACAATTGAATACATATATAGCCATGAATATATTGAATAGAATATCTATATCCATGGTTTTTTGTATGTATACAATTTTTCACAGAATATCAATGGCCAATGGCTCTAGCCGTGCCTTCCAGCATGGCCTCAGGTGTGCAGTCCGGCGCCTCAGAAATCGGCGACCTAGTCGTTCAATCAACTCGCAGTTTTCGATGGCAAAATGGCCCATTTCGTGATTTACCGTAAACGTTTACATAGCGAACTGGAAAATCACCATTGTTTATCGATAAATCAGCTATAAATGGTCATTTTCAATAGCAAACTACAACAAATTACCAGAGGGTCGTTCAATTTACCCGTAAAAAATGCTGAGTATCCAGATCGCTACGTGAACTTCCCGGGGGGCATGCTTTACGTACCTGTGGTCATCGTTTTGAGATGTGAATTTCCTATGGTTACACACTGATGACTTCCACTCGTTGGCAAACCAAGGATAACCAAGGGTCACTACCTGCTACCTGCTATGTACTGATTATTGGTTCTATTACACACCTGGCTTTTTTAGATCATTGTATCATTGTTCAGAAAACATATACCACCCTTTATGGTTCAGCCTTAAAATACCCAAAGGTTCAACCAGCACCTATCCAACAAGTTGCGATATATTCGATAAACATCATTTCAAATACCAATATTCATTTGGTATTACCCTCTGGTAAACTAACATAGCTATTGAAAATGACCATTTATAGTGGATTTACCCATTGAAAATTGTGATTTTCCATTGTTATGTTAGTTTACCTTAGGGTACCAATATTCATTTGGTACGAAAACCCCCAGGTTATTGTTCTCATAGAGTAAAACCAGACTCTTCCAAAATTATACACGTCTTTTATTTAGTTGATTGACTAGTTTGGGCTCGATCCCCCTACCAGAGGTCTTACCGTGTCGGCTGAACGATCGAGGGTAGTTGTGTTGCCATGGATATCATTTCGGTTTCGAAGCATCCTGTGGGTGTGAACATCAATGTTTTGGTCAATTTTGACAGCAGGTTGGGTGATCATTTGTTCGGTGTCGAATGTCAGTTCGGCACTCGTGTGGCCATCCCTCATGAGGGTGTGCAGGGAGAAGGTCTGATGACCCTCTACAATGTCAAACGATCAGGACGCAAGGTGCAAGATGCCGAGATGTTGACTCCAGACCCTGGCTTCCCCCCCCAAAAACATAAGACGTTTGATTTTCGTGATCTTGGATTCGTCCATGACGTTTGTTGTGGCATGGGGGGTTTTTCTACTGCCATGGATTTTCTGCATTCGGCCTGTGGACTCCCTGGCCGCGTTGTTTCCGCCGTCGATCTCTGTCCTCTTGCTCTGTCTGCGTACAGGTTGAATCATGCTGCCACAGCTGTCCTTGGAGATATCACTTTGAGTGAAACAATCTTTGAAATGCATATCCAGCAGTGCCTCTCTGGCGTGCAGCCTTTGCTGGTTGGAGGCTTCCCATGCCAACCTCTCTCGAGACAAGGAGCACAAAGGCGTCAGTCGGATAGTCGAAGTATGGTTCTGCCTGCTCTGTTGCGAGCGGCGTACTATCTCCAAGTTTCAGGAGTTTGCTTGGAGTGTGTGCCCGAAGCATACACAGATCAGGGGACTCAAGCTGTTTTGCACGAGTTTGCCAATTTGATGAATTTCACTATCCATCAAAGGATTGTCCACCTCCATGACACCTGGCCCTCCAGACGTACACGGTGGTTTGCATTGGTGATCCCTGAGTGCTTTGGATTTCATTTGCAAGAGATGCCAAAATTGAGCCCTGCGCCAGTTGTAGGAGATTTGATCCCTTTTACCCAATGGCCAACTTGGAATGATGCGGAAGAACATCAACTTCGGTGGACAGAGATGGAATCGCAGACTTATAAAGACCCTGCATATGGAAGTACTGATAGAAGGGTTGACTTGAGCCAGCCACTTCCGACAGCATTGCATTCGTGGGGTAGTGCTCTATACAAATGCCCATGCAATTGCCGAGCTCAAGGTTTTCATCCACGTACTTTGAAAGCTAAGGGTTTGCGAGGAGTGGAAATCATCTCGGGTCTGTGGCCTCATGCATCAAGACATATCCATCCCAAAGAGCTTCAGTTTTTGCTTGGGTTTCCTCCTTTGCAGTGTGTTCTTTCTGATTGCCGGGCGCAGTTGTGTTTGCTTGGAAACTCAGTGTCCCCGGTCCAGGTGATTTGGATTTTGTCTCAACTGTATCAAGGCTTTCAGCTGATGCACGACATTGCACCAAGGGAATGCATTTGTCGATATTTGCAGGCCATTGTTTTGCACCGTGATGTCACCTGGCCAAGCCCAATACCAGGTGTTAGTCAAGCCATTTTGGATTTCCCACAAGGCCAGGTTTCAGTTTCTTTCCATACTGGAGAGACCATCAGAGACTTGATTCGAGCAGAAGCCACTTTGCAATTGGATCCCCGCAAAATCAGTCTCAGCTGTCAAGGCCTGGAACTGCCAGAATGGGCTTACGTGCAAGAACGGACGTATCAGGTCACCTTGGAAACTTCGTTCACTGACTTCCCAGTTCAACCAGTGCCTGTCCTGATTGATCACCTTGGGGTTCGGAAACTGTACGTCGTCCCGGCCAGTTTTTCGATTGCCGCTGCGCTTTCTTGGGTTGGCATTGTCGGTTACAAGTCAGTTGTCAATGAACACCAGGCTCAAATTGATATCAAAGATCGGGTTCAAGCTTGGATCGTGATTGTCGTGCAACTTGACCCTGCGGAAGTGGAATTTGAGCTGCTCATGAGACTTGACGGACTTGGTTTTGACTCTGTCCACAGAACTCCGGGTCTTTGTGTCACCGAAACTTGGGGTGGTACTGGTCTCTGGCATGTGGACCAATTGGTCAAGTCAAATTTGTTGGTTTCCTGGGCTGGATCGGACTTCCAATCCCTGACTGTCTGGCTTCCTTCTTTTGCAGCTGCGGTGGTTGAGTTGTGGCCTAGTACTGCTGAAGACCATTTGCGAGCATGGCTCTCCGTGTCGCACACAAGTGTTTATGCCATTGTTCTAGAACAGTGGGGATGGAATTTGCTCAAGATTTCCGTAACGCCTCAGTCTTTGAGCGTCTTGTTTTTTGAGCCCGAAAGTCAAGTGTCGGCATCAGCAGCTTATTTGGCCTTCAGGGCAAAGGCTGCCAGTGGCAGACAATGGTCATCCGAGACCTATATCCAGCGTGGAAATGAGTTTGGACTTCCAGGCACATTGGAGCGCATTTTTGCACTGCTGGACTGTGAGTTGAATTTGCCCAGTCATGTTGCATTGGCACTGCAGCAACATCGCGTTTTGGACTTCCCAGACTGCAATGGGGACACCGCAGCGACATGCTCACCCACTCTGCTTTATGGACTTTCTTCGGCTCAACTGCCTCACTCGGTTTCCATGTCAGGCAATTCAGACCTAGGCCTTGGACTTACGGCCAAGTTTCTATTGGATTTCTCAAGGGCTTGGACTTGCAGCCGACCTTTGGATTTTGGGGTTGACCAGATCAAGGTAGTGAGCATTGGCCATGAAGCAGGCTTGGATTTTGTTTGTGAGACCAAACCTTTTCAGGCGACAGGTGATCAGTTGTACATCTTTGTTTTGATCGACCGCCATTGGACCTTTTTGCACTGTCAGTATCAACAGGATGGTTTGAGCATTACCCAGTTCGACGGACTGGCATGCACCAACATTCAAAAGTTGACTCCAGTTGTGGAAGCCTTGAAGTTAGCCTGGAACGTGCAGCGGATCACTGTCCAAACCACGTGGGAAGTTCCGCAGACCCGACAGGATTCATGTGGCACCATTGCTTTAGCACATTTTGGACTTTTGCTTGGACTCTTGACTTGGGATCAAGCGATGCAGTTTGAGACATTGCATGAGAGTCTGGCTATCTGTGGTAGTATGTCCAGTCTCCACAGTCCAATTGGTTTTGGGGCTGAGGAGAATGCTGTCATCAGATCTTTAGAACAGGTTCTGCCATCACATGGAGTACCCCCATCCGAAGTCAAGAATCGTGCCCAAGCAGCCATCAAGGTTTTTGGACTTGCCGCCATCACTCGTGCGTTACAAGCTAAGAACACATGGATGTCTTTGAAACAGCTTGGAAATTCTAGGCCCAAGCCTTTCATGTGGGTTACTCACGAAGAGCTCCAAAACCACATCCGGGACCGTTCAATTTCTCAATTTGGAGTTGAAACTGATGGAAAGAAAGGCAAACGAAGCAAAGAACCCAAGAAGTCAGCACAGGCCATCCAGCTTGACCCTGCGAGCCTTGTCTTGCCAGCAGGAGTTTTCATCACTAATGATGGAACAGCACTCCAGCAAATCAACATCACAGATGTGCAAAAAAATGCTCGAGGGATTGCGTTCGGATCATACCAAGACATCCAACCCTTTTTGGCAGAAGGAAAATCCATTTCCCCTGAGGGTCTTTCAGTGTTGGTTGTTGGACTCTTTCCTGAGGCTGCACCACTTGGACTTCCGACAAACTCCTTGCGTGTTCCTGCGATCTACCGAGGCACAAATGAGCCAATCATTCTCGATGTGGTCGCAGTACAATTGGGTGATCAGGCAGTTTATCGACTCACAAATCAGAAAGCACCAGAATTGGCCGTTTTTCCAACCAGGGTTTTTCGTTTGCATGTTTTCAAGGACTTGTGGACTTTGTCACATGATTGGAACGATATGATTGCACACCCGGTTCGTTCTTTGGTTCAGCAGTTCTCTGTCCTCAAGTTGTGTCGTAACCCAGATTGTGATTTGCTCTGCGGGGCTTTCCATCCGTCAATTGAGGAATCTGGGGTTGAATCAGGGCTCATCGATGTCTGGGCTTTTCGCTGGACAAAGAATGATGGATCCAAGTCAAGTCCTGTCGATGCTGATGTCATGTCGGTTTACATCCGTGTCCCAGAGTCATCGTTTGCGTACCTGCACAGCGCATCCGGAGGGGAAGGAGTTTTTTTTGAGCCACGATGCCAAGATTCGCCTGGGGCAGACCCCGCTTTTGCTGTTGTCTGGGTGCCACAATCCAGTCTGCAAGACATCATGCACAAAGTCAAGACAATTGACCATTGCCTAGCCGCATGTCGCATTGGATTGAAGTATGGGGTTAGATGCCTGGCGAAGCACCATGAGACAGTCCATCAAGAACTGAGGCCACAGGTACCTTTTGTCAACTGTGTCATTCGTGAAGTGTATCGATTGGAACCCTTGCCAGCTGGAACTCAACGGCAATCGTTGTCAGAAACTTTGCAGTCCATTCAATGGCGCGCTAAGCCTTTGCAACCTTGCAAAGGTTCCCAGGGCCGTGCGTGGACAGTTGGTGCCGAAGCTCCGCCACCCAGCCAGTTCATTCAGGCACAACATGGATGGGTCAGCATTGCCAAGGTGAAAGACCAGTTTCAAGCTCAGCCTACTCAGCATCTGATCGCTACTGCAAAGACTAAGCAGCACATTGGTACCGTTCGCTCCGCACCTGCCTCCACTCCTGCAGTCGATCCCTGGACTTCGGGTCGTGATCCTTGGGGGGGATATCAAGCAGTTTCCACGAAAGCACCTGCACCCCCTTCTCAACATGTGCAACAAAAGATTGACGATGTTGAGCAACGATTGAGTGATCAGGTCAAGGCCACCATTGTTCAAGAACTTCAGACCACTGACACCAGCGGCCGAGTTGATCAAGTCGAACAGCAAATCCAATCCCTCATCGAGCATCAGACTCGTTTGGAACAATGGGCCACTGAGGGCAATGGACAAATTGCCATGTTGCAGCAAGAAAGCCAGCAGCTGCATCAAGCCATTGACCAGTGCCATGCACGAATCGGAGAACAAGGTCAAGCCCTTAGCCACGTTGTCAATGAAGTCTCATCATGTTCTCAGGCACTGACCATTCAGGGACAAGCCATCAACAAGGTTTCCACTGAAGTTTCATCGTTGCAGGATGGACTTTCGAAGTCGTTGGAATCATACTTTGCAAAGCAGACGGAGCAGATTGAAGCTCTGATGGCTAAAAAGGCCAGGACTGGTTGACTAGGTCGGGCGGGGCTCTTCTCTGGACTTAGAAGAGTGCCCAAAACAAGTTCCGTGTCCTTTGGATTTCTTTCTCGATTTTGGTTCATCAGTGTCTTTTTTCTTGCCTTCTTTCGAGTCGGTGAAGCTGCAGTTCCTGGTCCTCGAGCCTCGTCTCCGGACTCTTTCCTTGATGCCCCGACCTGGTCTTTGCCTGAGCAGCCTGAGTTTTGCATCGGATCCGGCAATCCATCCGGCATAAATAATAAGTTGCACACCTTGGATTTCTTTCCCAAAGGCTGGTTCCATCTTGCTGAGACGCAGGCTTCACGTTCCCAGCAAAGCCTAGTGCAAAGTCACTTGAGAGCAGTTTCTGCTCGCCAGAATCGCAATCTTCGTTGCTGTGTCGGAGCCCCGGCACCCTTGCGCCCAGGATCCCAGCACTCAGGTTCCTGGACCGGAGTCCTCAACTTCGGAGATTGCCATCTCCGACAGGTGCCTTCCTTTTGGCCTGCCGGTGAGTACAATAGTGGCCGAGTCATGCTCACTGTGGCTCACATAGCCAATCTCCAGATCACTTCTGCTACAGTTTACTGTCCAGCCAAAGGCCCTTCGTTCCCTCAGGCTACTGAGCTTGCTGAATCCTTGTTAGAACCAGTCACAGAGGCACTTGTGTTTGGGCGTGCCGGTGCTAGGATCATCTGTGGCGATTTCAACACTTCAGCTGGTAGCCTTCGCCAAATGCAAATTTGGAGGTCACAAGGCTGGGCGGAAATTCAAGAGATTATGTACAGCCGGCATTCCATAGCTCCGAGACACACGTGCAAAGGAGCTACCACCCCTGACCAAATATGGTGTTCCCCGGAGATCATGCCTTGGATTTCCAACATTGCGCTTTGGAAGATTTATCCTGATCATGACATGTTGCTTGCCGGGATTCGCATGCCGAACTTGCCTAAGGTTTCCTTGCAATGGCATCTTCCTGGTCATATCCCTTGGAATCATGTGTCTCAGGAACGATGGACTTCGGATTCTGACGTTGGTTCTGTGTTCCCTCCTAGCGTGTGGCCTGCGGGCGGCCTACCTCGGTCTGAACCAGTCTTTTCCGATGGACTTCACTCTTTGGACTCCACTTTTGCCTTTCAGCAATAGAGCAGCAAGTTTGAGCAAGCAGCATCCAGGTGCATTGAACTTCCCACCGCAAAAGCTGATCGAAGTTTTTACGGCCGTGGTCAAATGACCAAACCCAAGTTTCGAAGTTGCACTTATGCAGTTCCAAAGCATAGCCGACAAGGCGAAGTGCAGCAGACCTGCGGTTTTTTGAATAGGGCCGTTGCTCGTTGGTTCAAACAGCTGCGACGTATGCAATCCTATATGCATGCCGTTAAGTCGGCCAACGTAGACTCCAACTTTCGATCCAGAGCTGAATTGTGGAACAGCATTCTCAGGGCTGCCGGTTTCAGTGAAGGTTTTTCAACGTGGTGGTTGTCCCGACCTGTTCAGCTCCAAGGCACCCCTGGCGCAATCCCCATGTACCCGCCAGACATTGTCATTGCCAGTTTGTTGTATGATGATTTCAAGCAGAATTACAGGCACTTCGAAAGCTGGCAGTTGCAAAAACGCCGGGCGAGTTGTCAGTCAAAGCTTGTGGAAACCACCAGAGGCCTGTTTGCAGTCACAAAGAAGCCTGCAAAGGAGACTTTGGATTGCCTTGAAGACCAGATCTCACAGCCCATCACTGTGGTCAATGTTAACACAAATGTGATTCAGGTGCCTGAAGTTTTCCCTGTTGAAAATGTCACCCATTGGACTTTGCAAGACCAGCCAGCTGTTGTCCGGGTCCATCCGGATGGCTATCAAGTTGACTCGGATTACGTTTTGGCCAGCAATCAGGTCTTGACTTGCCATGTTGCGGTTCATGATACTGCGGTCATTCACAATAGGTTAATTGACCTATGGTCCCCAAGATGGAATAAGCACAAAGATCAACTAGCCATTGGAACCATATCCGTGATTTTGCCCAAGCACACCTGAAGTTTGAGCCTTTTGCCTTGCCTCCCATCACGGCACAGGACTTTCGGCGTGCAGTCAGTTCCTTCAAATCAAATGCTGCCTCAGGCCCATGTGGGTGGTCATTACAGGACCTTAAACATCTCACGGACGTACAAGTCTCTGCCATTGTGGATTTTTTTTCCGCAATCGAAGCAGGGGCTCCATGGCCTGCTCAGTGGTGTGTTGGCCTAATCCACTGTCTTCAGAAGCGAGCATCCAGCCGTACCGTTAATGGATTCAGACCCATTACTGTGGCAAGTTTGTTTTATAGGCTTTATGCAGGCATCCGTTCTGGCCAGATACTTGCTCAGCTCTCCAAACGAGCAGACAAGTTTCAGTGCGGTTTTGTCCAAGGGCGCCAAGCCTCTGATGTTTGGTATCTTGTTGGCATCAGCATCGAGCTGGCCATGCAGCAATCCACTCCTTTGTTCGGTGCAGTTGCAGACATAGTTAAGGCTTACAATGCCCTGCCTCGTTGTCCGGCTTTTGACTTTCTGCGTTTGCTTGGAACTCCAGAATGGTTTCTTCAGGTTTGGTCTCGTCATCTCAGTTCATTCACCAGGTATTTCATCGTCAACGGTGAAGCCAGTCCTGCAGTGTGTGCGTGCACGGGCTTTCCCGAAGGTTGTCCACTCTCCTGTTCCGCCATGACGGCCATAGACACCGTCTGGCACTGGTGGCAACATGTCGCGGCCCCTAACCCACTCAGTCTGAGTTATGTTGACAATCTTGAAGTGTTAGGAGACTCCTCTCAAGCTGTTCACGCTGCTTTGCAAAGCTTGGGTTCTTTCTGTGACCATTTGGACTTGGAAATAGACACTGATGCCTTGTATGCCTGGTCGTCTTGTCCGTCAGGTCGCCGTGAACTTAAAGATTTGGGGTATAAAGTAAGTTTGGGAGCCAGGGATCTAGGAGGTCAAGTCACTTACTGCAGTCAGCTACGTAACCGTGTACTCACTGACCGGATCACTGGAATCAAGCAGTACTACACCAAGCTCAGATCAGCAAAGTTGCCAACCCAGGTGAAACTTCTCAACATCAGACAGGTTCTTTGGCCCAGAGCTTTACACGGATGTGAATCCGTTGTGCTTGGGAACACTCACCTCAATAACATGCGATCAGGGGCTATGTTGGCTGCAAACTGGAGACGTGGCGGAGCTTCTCCGATTGTGCGAATTGGTCTCCTTAACACTCCAACTGATCCGGCTTGGTATCAGCTGTGGAAAGTTGTGCAAACCTTCAGACGCCAATTTCACTGCAGCCCTGTTGTTGCAGATTTCTGGAAGCTTTACCTTGAGAATCTGAGAGGCTCGACGAACGGGCCTTTCGGCAAACTTTTGGATCTTGTGCATTCAGTTGGCTTGCAATTGGACGAGGAAGGTTGCTTGTGGTTCTCCCATCGGGGATGTTTGGACTTGACTACTTGTTCCAATGTCATTTTGGAGAAGATTCTTTTACATTTTTTCCATCGTGCACTGGCGGACCAGGTTCAAAACAGGTCCGGATTTCAGGACTTGGAGGGCTTTGACTATGACCTTACGACATGTTGTGACAAGTTTTTTCAGCCACATCAGGTTGAACAACTAATGGTCGTGCGAGATGGCAGCTTTTTCACCAACCAATTCTGCAGTAAGTTCGATGCTAGCAAATCTGAGATGTGTGTCAGTTGCAATGTTGTTGACAGTCGTGCCCACCGATACACAACATGCAGCAGATATGATCAGGTGCGATCTCGGCACCAGCAGTTGTTTGAAGAATGGCTTGTTTCCTACATGTTTCCAGCAATACGGTTTGGTGCCAGCCAATCCATGGCAGGTGCTCCTTTGGGAAGCTTTTCTTGCCTTGCCAACTGGGCCCTTTTCACTGACGGCACATGCAGTGCACCTCAAGATCTTGATTTGGCACTGGCCGCCTGGGCCGTGGTTTGGGCAGATCATGGTACGGTAGCATGTGGCTACCTCTCTGGACTTCAACAAACCATTTTGCGCGCCGAAGCAACAGCAGTGTTAAGTGCACTGGGGTGGATTGATCAACAGGAGGGGGTTTTGCACCTATGGATCGATTCCCAGACAGTGATTGACAATCTGCGTGACTTGCTTCGAGGCACCGGGGTTGCGTCGGACTTCGAGCACCCTGATCTCTGGAAACAGATAGAGGCCTTGCTTCAAACTGTGAAAGCCGAAGTTGTCCCACACAAAGTTGTCAGCCATTTGCCGCAGTCTGAGTGCCTTAGCCCTTTGGAAGACTGGACACGAAAGTGGAATGAAGCAGCTGACTCCCAAGCCGACTTGGCAAATCTGACTCGGCCCATTTTCTTCAACAAAGTTTGGGTTCGTTTCCAACAACATAGGCAGAGCTGGAAAGCACGAGTGAGTTTGATCACCAAGTTTCAAGTTGAAGTAGCAGCACAGGACTGTACTGATGAGAGCGTAGAGGAAGAATTAGAAGAACAGGGGTTCGACGTTTCACGTTTTGATTTTGTCACTAGTTTGAACCATGCCGAGACTTCTGTACATTTATCCACTTGGCTTCAGGTTTCAGGTAGTTTTCATTGCGGTTTAGGATCACAGGCTGATCAGCTTTTGCTTCAGCTGTGTCAATGGTTAGTCACAGTTGATGCAAGTGCCTCTGAGATGCGTTTAGTTGCCATTGTCGAGATTTTTGTTGCTTTCAGGCTTCATGTTGGGGGTGCCCCTTTGTGTGTTGCCGGAGGCGATGTTGATAGGTATTCTTTGGTTTCTTTTGCCCGTGACTTTTCGTATTTTCGTAGGTTGTGGAAGCTGTTGGAAACTGGCACTGGCATCACGTGGACTAGTGGGCAAATAGATCTAACACAGGTCCGAATTTTGCCTCTGCAGAAGGCTGTCTGGTTGGGATGGCCTCGCGAAGTCGAGTTGCCGGTCTTGCAGGCACTCGATGAATTTGTGGGCGCACGCCCTATTTCCAATTGTCAAGGTTTCTCTCGACCTTGGCGCAATTAGAGCTGAGACTTTTCGGACATGCGGGCTGCGTGAGCTGCCTGCATGCTTGCCTCAAGCCGTGCGCAATAGTTGATTGACTAAATGACTGTCCCAAAGTTATTGGCCCATCAAAATCGTGAAGATTCACTTGTCCATCTTTTTGGGGCTTACTAATGTGTATGTATATATATATATATATACATACATACATACATAATATATATATATATACACATAACATATATATATAAGATATATATATAAGATATATATATATATATGATATATATATATATATCCATCGACCGAATGCATCTCCACTGCCATGCCGCTGGATGGAAGACTTGCTCCAAGCCATCGCAGAAGATCCGAAAGGTGCTGGTCTCCTTCGGTCGCCCGGCGCCAACGAAGCGCCACGGTCGTGACGGTAGTGCCATGGTTGATCTAAAGCAACAGATATCCAGTGGTTATTATCCAATGGTTGTTATGGTTATTATCCAATGATTTTATTGTCCCAAAAATCTGTTGAATGGCGGAAAATCCATGGGGAACCCCCGGAGGGTTCCCCAAAGTGAAATTATGGTTATTATCCAATGTTTATTGTGGTTGTTACCACACATATTGAATGTATCTGTCGAATGGTTCTTATAATATCTTATAATATGTATAACTGATATTGAATGGCAAATAAGCAATGACACTGGATAATTTCTGTCTGATAGTAATAGTTTATCCAGATTAAAGGATATTACAGGAGTAGAACTTGGGTTCCAAAGGCTTTTTGAAATAGATGCAAATATAAACTGGTTGGGTGCTTTTCTGTGGGGTTGAATTTGGCAAGGAAAAAATCGTATTATTGAAGAAGACATGTTGGGAGAGCCAGCCTAATGGTTTTAAACAAATCTAAACAAAGCTCATGGTCTGTGAAGGATCTCCAGATCTCCGGTGGAAACATCTGGCACCCATTTCTTCAGATTCACTAAGACTTATGTTTTGATGGGTGCTGTAGATCATCTCAGCACAGATTCGTGGACTTTCCAGCCCATGGCATCTCGCTCTTGGCATCTATTATAATTTATTGACTATATTAATCAACCTCCAGATGCAGGTTGAAGTCACACCAAAGTTCCAAAGCTAAGATAGTGGAACAACCACTATATCGCCATGATCTCCCCAACAATCAATAAATGGGCCCCATTGGGTCTCCAAATGATTGGGGGCTTCTTCTAATGACATCGGCCGCCCCCATCTGGGTCCTTATGCAGGTGGATCTGCGTTTCAAAGAGCCCAAAGATGTCGTCGCCTGACACCTTCATACTCTCCTGGGCGTTTAACGCATAGTGGAATAGTAACCATCATTTTGGAATAGTAACTCCCAATGATGGAATAGTAACCATAGTAACCATAATAACCATAGTGGAATCTCATGGGATTTCACTGGGTTTTGGCTGGGATCTCATGGGGAAAAATCTCTGACGATCCGCCGATCCAAGCGACCTGGACTCCAAAAGTGTGGTCCCCCATGACACCTCAGAGTCCATGGGACCCATGGGAGTTGGTGCCAGAAATGGAGTTGGTCGTTTCAGATGCCCTCTGGTAAACGTTTACATAACTATGGATAAAATCACCATGCTATAGCTGGGTAAATCCACTATTTCTATGGCAATATAGCAAACTGTTAGTTTATGTGGGACTCTACTGACAGTAGCTGACAGTAGCTGACAGTAGCTGACAGTAGCTCACTCTCAGCCAAGTGGCTCAGCCTTTCAGGCGGCATCGGCAGAGGCGTCAACGACACCTGCTGACAAAATGAAATGGTGAAATGGTGATGAAATGATGGTTAATTTATGCTTTTCCATGGGTTCATGATCATTAAAACCCATGAAAAAAATAACGTAAAATAACCATATATTGGGTATCCTCTACGTTCAGAACAACCCAAATAGCGGGGATCAATTTGAGAAGATGGCGACATTAGAGAAGAAGATAACCATTGGATCCATGCTTACAGGACGTTGGAAACACCCCAAGAAAACTGATCACCGAAATTTCTCCGCATTCAGCAGTTGATTCGAAAGTCATGCTCTAACCCCCCCAAAAAGGATGCAGAAAAGTGAAATCCTAGTAACAGTAGTGGCAAATTGAACTTGTTTTTCCAGTAATAACTAGTCATCAAGAGCTGAGCGTACCCCCTTTCACGGCTACCTGAAGAGGTTACTCCTTACCCACAAGAAATCAATGCTGTAGGGCCCGCCTTTTGCCAGGACACACGCTTCTCCCTGCCGTTGACCTGGAGCCTGGTTGACAGCACTGTGACGGATGAATTGGGTGGCCCACAAACTATAGGAAAGGATGGACAACAGTGAAGCATGCATATTTTACAGTACCATATCATTATGTTTCGTACCATATCATATCAGTTCATGTCATATTCATAGCATATCATATCACATCATATGGTATCATATCATATCGTATAAGTCATATCTTATTGTATCATATTTATCATATTATTTTGTAATAATATATATATTATGTTACACTACCACGATTTAACGTAGACGCGGTGGCAAAAGAACAAAAGCATACATGGTAGTACACATGTTTCCGAATGGCCACATTTATTTTCCAAAACAACGTTGCAGATTCAGTTTTGTTATATATTATGTTATGTTCTATTGTTTGAAATTATATCACGGTATGTTCTGTTATATCACCGTGTATTACATCATAAAATAGCAGTTCATGTCATGTCGTATGATATTATACTACATATTACACTATATTGCATTACTTTACATTGTATATATTACAGTATAGTACATTGTATTGCATAATATCATATTATTTTACAATATTATACGTATATTATGTTACATTATGGTATACTACATTACATTATATTTCATCATGTTTCAATGTTACATTATGCTGTATACATTGTATTAAATTGTATTACATCATATTATAATTTATCGTATTATACTATACTATATTACATTGTATTACATTACATTACATTTCATTACATTATATTATATTGTATCATAGTGAATTAATGTATATATATATATGTATACATCGATATATTATATTAGATCATAGTGGATCACATTATTTATATATATATTATCGTATCATATCATGTCATAGCAAATCACAAAATGTGTTTACTATATCATATCATATGATTATATCAATATCAAAACATCTATGATGATTATGTTCATTTCATATTCATATCATATTATTCATATGATATTATGCGTATGATTATGTATATATATGTACATATGCATATACCGGCGTACCCCTAAACTTGGCTTTGTCCGCCACCTACTGGTAGCTATGGGTCAAAATGATCTATTTCCGGCAAAAAAATGGATGGTTTTATATGTGGTCACACTAAAAATGTGTGAAAAAACGTGCGCTACGCCCGACAGCTACTCCACTATATACACTTTCATAGGGTTTTTAAGGGTTTATGGAGGGTTTCTTTAGGGTTCATTTAGGGTTTCTTTAGGGTTATGTTTAGGGTTACTTAGTTACTTCAAGATTTCTAGGGATTTTCAAGAGTTTCTTCAGGTTTATGTAAAAAGTCACGAAAAGCAGTTTTGGAGGACAGCTCACCGCGCAGGGTCATCAGCCACGTCTCCGGGCTAACCCCGAGCCATCCGGGCATTAGATCCCCAAAAATGCTAGAAAGCTACATTTTTTCTGTAAAGCTCACCAAAAAAAATTACCCTCTGGTAATTCAACGTAGCTATGGAAAATCACCATTTTTTAATGGGTAAATAAACTATCAATGGCAATTTTCAATAGCTATGTGGCTGTTTACCAGAGGGTAAAATGAGGGTTGCAACAGTGTAGCGGGGATCGTGTCCGAATTTGACTGCGCGGGTTCGCGCGGGTTTGCGCGGGTTTGCGCGGGTTTGCGCGGGTTTGCGCGGGTTCGCGCGGGTTCGCGCGGGTTCGCGTTGGTTCGCGCGGATTTGCGCGGGTTTGCGCGGGTTCGCGCGGGTTTGCGCGGGTTTGTGCGGGTTTGCGCGCGTTCGCCCGGGTTCGTGCGGTTTCGCCCGGGTTCGCGCTGGTTTGTGCGGGTTTGATGATGATGATGATTTTATGATTATCATGATTATCATGATGATGAGTCAATGACAGCAATCGGTTCCGTCTAATGTCTTACAGGCAATTGCAGAGGCGCAGGTCTGCAAAATTATCACTTATGCCAAAAAACAGTCACTATCCACAAGAGCCTGAGCAAAACCATTCCAGAAGCATTTCTTCTTGATGCTTTGGCACTTTTTGGCTAGCCGGATACACCATTCCTCCGTGAGTACTGAGGGCGGAGGCGATTTTGCCAACTGAATCATTTCCTTCAACCTATCCACCAATGACTTATCATTGAAAAGGTGAAACATGGTTTTGAAGAAGCACACCTGGTCGCAAATAACTGGAATGGTTGAGTCCTTGCCAAGTTGTTACCTCTTTCTCCTGTATCACCATGTGCAAGTATATAGTTTTTTGTAATCATGTTTTTTGGTCTGATTCATTGGTGGAAAAGACTGAATTCTCGTGGCTGTGAGCGGGCGAATTTCCAGCCACTTCGCAGTTCAGAATCATAGTACGAAACCTTGCAGCAACGCTGTCCAGGTCATGGAAGTTTTGGAAACTAGGCACCATCAGGTTTTGTTTGGAAACCAGGTCACATGGTTGTATGGTTACTTTATCTTACCACACCGGTCAAACCCCTGAAGACCTGACCACCGACCACTGCTGCTGGAGTTGCCAGTGCTAGCACCACAGGCAGACATCACAAGGGACACCACAAGCACAAGCACCGCAGACTCGGTCCGTGTCCTCTGTGCTTGTGCTTGTGGTGTCCCTTGTGATGTCTGTGAAGAACCTCAACACGAGTGAACCCTCCTATAGGCCTTGAGATTCGCACTATCTTTGACATTGCTTGCTCAGTTGATATTTATTCATAATGACAATTTCCACAGCTGATGTTTAGAAGAACAAGATATACACACGAGATGAGGGATATGTGATCCCCACTATCCATTTATCCACGTATGTCTTTCCCAAACCAATCCATTGAGCTTCAGCTTCAGCTCAAGCTAGGATCTCCACCTGGCTGCAGCGTAGGCTTAGCTTTGTACAATCGCGATAGGAAGCGTCAGCTTTGGAATGACCAGATTCCAAAGGGATCTCATAGGATCCATGGGGGTAATCGGATAATTGGTATCATGGGTATATCATGGGTATATCATGGTATATCATGGTATATCATGGGATCCATGGGGATAAGTTACATGGATAACTAATATTATATACTAATGGCTGCCAAGGCTTGCTCAGACGCTACGACAGAGTGATGGAAGCCCGACCCGGGATTGTGCTCCATCACGCTCCACCTGTTCCTGGGAAACAATGCAACACATCCATCCATATCAATATCAATTATATATGTGGCATCTAATGCTTCATATACACATATATGATTATATATACATATATATCATTATATAATATATATATATGTATTGTCATTATTATGTTTATTCTTCAACGTAACTTCAAAAATCTTCCATACTATTACCTTCTTGAGTTTCTGGGCATCAAACCATGATGTCAATTGCTGTCTTGCAAATTGGGCACTGCTTGTCCAGCACCAAATGCCAGCAGAATGGAATCAGCGGCCTGCAACGAAGCCTCTCCACCTGAGGGAAAGGTGGACATCACCGTGAAAAACACGTGAAACGAATAAAATGATGCTGATGATGATGATGATTTTGATGATGATGATGATGATGATGCTGGTGGTGGTGGTGGTGGTGATGGGATGGTGGCGGTGATGGTGATGGTGGCGGCGGTGGTGGTGGTGGTGGAAAACGATGAGGACGATGATGATGTGGCGACGACAATGATGACAATGATGACGTCAATGACGATGACGATGACGATGAGGGTGAGGATGACGATGAGGACGAGGATGATGGTGGTGGTGGTGTGGTGGTTGGTGGGTGGACTTTTGGACAAGGGCCACAAGTGTAGAGCATTGAGTAGAAACCTGGTGCTCCAGGGATGACAGTGTACAGGCACAACAAAAGATCAAAAAGGACGAGCAAAGACAAAGAGAGTCGCAACACCAACCCTCTTGCGAAGAAAAAGAGCACATCAAGTCATATTAAGTCCCTGGCTGCTGCGGAAGATAATGCTTTGCTCAACAGATCCAACACCCGATAGCTTCATGGGCAGAACCTGTCATGAAGGATAAGCGATTGAGCCTTGCCTAAAAGCAATTCTGTTCTTTCAACAGTGACAAGCACAGAGTTCAGACATACTGCTGGTCATTCGTTGAAGGGAAATTCGCCAGTGTCACCGGCCTTGTTACTGGTGAAGTCAATGGAGAGGCGGTTCTCGAAGCTCGCAGGTGTGTCCGCCTCTATGGAACATGATTTCCCAGGTTCCCAGAGTTTGATCTCACTTGATGTCTAGAAAAAGTCACTTGATGTCCTAGGATATGACAACTTGATGCTAGGCAGCTGATGAGGTCCACACAGCTCGTTGAAAGTTTCCTGCGCTGCAGCATACTCTGAGCGGAGGTAATTGGAAACCTGGAGCAGGAGCTCAAGCTCAAGGTGCTTCAGAGTCAAACAAAGAGCAAACGACGAGGCGGGGTTGTAGGGCCGACAAATTTTTCGTAATCTCCGGCCCGGACAAGAAAAATAAAACGACCCGACAAATAAAGTCGGAATGGTGCCGACGAAAAGGGGCTGTAATTTTTGGGTCTCATATCATTCTCGTGTGCACCTTTTTGAAGAGTTGGCCGCGCCCTGCATCTGCTTTGAGATGGGACGTGCCCGGCATCTGCTCACAACTAGTAGAAGTGGGTCCCAGCTCTCATGGATCATCAGCCTATGATGTGAACCCTGCTTCAACTGTATGCTCGATCAACTGCGACCTGATTGTTGAACAAAACAAACATACGCATCGCAGATAGGAAAAATCACCACATAATTTCCTAAGCTGGCATATGAGCAGATTCCTCGCCCTAATCAGCATATTCCTCGCGTTTGCGCCGACCCTGGAGCATGTTGGTCTGGGCCTGAGTGTTGGTGAGATTCCTCTTACGTGAGGTGTACTTGAAGTCGGCTCTTCCAGGAGTATGCTCATATTTGAGGCTGAAGCCATCCTTTTGCACCAAAAGCCGTTGCTGTTGGGAATGCTTTAGGCAAGCTTCGTTGAAGAGAACGGCAGTGCTAAGGCTTGCTGCTTGTCTTTTGGGCAGATC